GACCCAGTATCGGGTTTCCAATGCTGTAAATCTTTATGGAAGCAGAAAGCCTCATCATTATCCCATGGAGCAGTTGGTGGATTCAAACAGCTGACTTTGCAGTTAACAGGCCAAAACGGTCCTCACTACACTGCCATCATAAAATATAGCCACAATGGAATACATAATCTGTGATCTAACAAATACATTTTACTGTGAATTCAGTAAGTTTATAATCTGTGTGTTGTTGTTGTTAAGTACCGTGGAGTGGGTTCCAACTCATAGTGACTCTGCACAGGGTTTCCAAGGCTGTAAATCTTTACGGGAGCAGAACGCCTCATCTTTCTCCCGTGGAACTGCTTGTAGTTTCTAACTACTGACCTTGAGGTTGGCAGCCCAACTCGTAACCATTTTAATCTGTGTACTTTAGGCTAAATAAACTTTTCAGTGCATGGGTTCCTTATAAGGTTATTATTTTATCCTTTTTATGCTCATGTGCTTAAAACCTCAACTCTAAATCCTTCATTCTCATGTTTTCTGCTTGTGCTGTGCTGAGAGGGAACACCTCTGACATGTACTATTTGCCCTCTTCTCTAACAGTGTGATGTATCTGTGTTTTCACTGGTCCCCTTTCTCTTGTCTTGAATTTGAGGAATGCTCTTTCTTTCACAGTATAAACATCGCCTCTTCTGTTCTTCAGTTTTATCCCCTGCAGCCATCTTCTGGACCACTGTCAATTATACCCTTAGCCACTTTAGTTTGATTTTTCCCTCGCTGAACAATAAGTTAAGAAATCTAACACAAGGACAATCAACTAGACCCACCCCTTCACCAGTGTCATCATAATCTTAAATGATTTTTTATAAGAACATCAATGGCTTTTAACCATTCTGCTTCCTCAGTATCACTCTGAATTATTTGGTATTCAAGAATCTTTCTTTACCGCTGTCTGTCAGTTTGGTACACTGTGGTGGCTTGTGGTGCTGCAAGCGATGCCACCATTATTGGAAACATCAGTGGAGGCAACCATGGTGGACACATTTCATTGGAGTGTACAAAAGAAGACAGACTAGATTAAAAAAAGAGACAGATCATTTCTGAGTGGTTAGCCACTGAAACTCTTATGAACAGAAGCAGAAGAAAGTCTGATAAAGGTTGGAAGGCACTCAAAATATGACTGGGGAAGACCTGGAGTCTCAAAGTAAAGTTGACCTTAATGACATGGATGGAGGAAATCTTTTGGGATCTTCATTTGCTGATAGTGCACAACACAAAATAAAGAGAAAGCGTTGCACATTTGCATTAATAATCAGAACGTGGAATGTACAAAATATGAATCTAGGAAAATTGGAAGTCATCAAAATTATATGGAACAAAAAAAAGATCAACAACGAAGGCATCAGTGAGATGAAATGGATATTGGCCTATTGAATTATATAATTATACAGTACTGCACTGGGAACAACAAATTCAAGAGAAATGTTGCATTCATCATCAAAAAGAACATTTCAATATCTATCTTGAAGTACAATATTGACCAAGACAGGTTAATTAATATCCATTCACTTATAAGGAAGACTAGTTAATGTCACTCTTATTTAATTTTATGCACTAACCAGTAAATCCAACAACGATGAAGCTGAAGAATTCTACCAACTTCTTCAATCTGAATTTTTATCAAACATGCAATCAATATGCATTGATAATTACTCGTGATTGGAATGTGAAAAATGGAAACAAAGAGGAAGGATCAGTGGTAGTAAATATGGCCTTGGAGATAAAAATGATGCTAGAGATCACATGACAGAATTTTGCAAGATTAATGAAACTTAAGGAGCTCTGGTAGCATAGTGGTTACGAATTGGGCTGAAAACCTCAAGGTCAGCAATTCAAACTTACCAGCTATTCCGTGGGAGAAAGATGAGGCTTTCTGCTCCCATAAAGATTTACAGCCTCAGAAACCCTATACAGGATAGCTATGAGTCGGAACTGATTTCAAGGCACATAGCCACCAGCCACCACCAATGACACTTAAGGAGTCCTGGTGAAGTAGTGAGTTATGGGTTGGGCTGCTAACCTCAAGGGTTGTAGTTCAAATACATCAACCAGTCCATGAGAGGAAGATTAAACTTTCTGCTTCTATAAAGATTTACAGCCTTCTGAAACCCTATACAGATTCGTTATAAGTCAGAACCAAATTGACAGCACGCAGGCGAAATACCCAGGAATCAAATTGACTTGATCTATGGTGAAAAATTATAATCATCACCCAAAACAAGGCCAGGACCTGGAACAGACCTGTTGTGGGACAGACCATCAATTGGTTATATGCAAGTTCAGGTTAAGGTTGAAGAAAATTAAAAACAAAGCCATGAGAGTCAAAGTATGATGTTGAATATATCTCACATCAATTTAAAGACCATCTCAAGAACAGATTTGATCTATTAGACAACAATGACTGAGGACATGCACACTTGTGAGATGACATCAAGAAAATCATACATGAAAAAAGTGAAGGTCATTAAAAAGACAGAAAAGACAAAAGTGGATGTCTGAAGAGACTCTAAAACATGTTCTTAATGTACAGAAGCTAAAGTGAATGAAGGAAATAAGGAAATAAAAGTGTTGAACTGAAAATTTCAAAGGACAGTTTGAGAAGACAAAGTAAATATATTGTAAAGAAATGTGTAAAGACCTGGAATTTGGAGAAACACCAGGGAAGAACACGCTCAGTTCTCAACTTGAAAGAACTGATGAAAAATTCATGCCTCAACTTGCAATATTGGAGAATTCATTGGAAAAATATTGAACAACACAGGAACCATTAAGATGAGATGGAAGAAATACAGAAGTACTGTACCAAAAAGAATTGGTCAATTTTCAGTCATTTCAAGGGGTAACATATGATCAAGAAGATAGAAGTGTACAAACTGCACTAATGCCATTGGCAAAAACAAAACAAAACAAACAAACAAACATAAAGAACTCCGGGAATTGATGGAATGCCCATTGAAATGTTTCAACAAACTGTTTCAGTGCTGAAGAGAATAACTCATTCATGGCAAGAAATTTGGAAGACAGCTACCCAGCCAACCTATGGAAAAGATCCACATTTGTGCCCCTTCCCAAGAAAGGTGACCCAACAAAATGTGGAAATCATTTAACAATATTATTACTATCACATGCTAGTAAAATTTCGCTGAAGATAATTAAAAAAACAGTTGCAGTAGTTCAATGACAGAGAACTTCCAGAGATTCAGGCCAGATACAGAAAAGGATGTGGAATAAGGAACATCACTGCTGATATCAAATGAATCTTGGCGGAGAGCAGCAAATACTAGAGAGGTGTTTACTTGTGTTTATTGACTACACAAAGACACTTGATTGAGTGGATCATAACAAACTATGAATAACATTGGTAAGAATGGATATTCAAGAACACTCAACTGTGTTCATGGGGAACTTGTACATAGACCAAAAGGCAGTTGCAGGAACAGAATAAGGGGATACTGAATGGTTTAATATTAGGAAAGGTGTACACCAGGGCTATCTCCTAATCATACTTAATCTATATACTGAGCAAATAACCCAGGAAGCTGGATTATACGAAGATTGTGGCATCAGGATTAGAGGAAGACTCAATAACATCCTACCATATGTAGATGACACAACCTTGTTTGCTGGAATTAAAGAGACCTTAAAATAGTTATTGATTAAGATCAAAACTACAACCTTCAGTATGGATTGTACTTAAGTATAACCACATCTCTCCCT